TGGCTCACTGTAAATTTTATACAGCACTGCAGGTAATGGTGTCTTCCCTTTTTTCCCAAAGATAGTATTCTGCTCTGTGGTGGTGAGGGGGGTAGTGCTTGACAGTGGCTGAGCACTGAGTTTGTGGCAAAAACTCTGAATAACATTCCAGGGTTTCACTCAATGTGGTAATAGCAGGGGGAGAGCTGACTGTTTAGTATGAGATGAGGCTTGTTCATCCCTCATGAAACACTGTGTAGATGAACTAAATGGTGTACATCTGCCAGATGTACTTGCAGTACTTAGGTTTATCACCCTGGATAGCTTGAGTGGCTTCACAAACTTTGTCACTTTTCTAAATACTCAGCTTTTCTGGATCTTTTAGAAATACATTAAACAGAAAAGGCGGCAACAGAGATCCTTTTAGAGCTTGCTGGTCAATTTGTCTTCGCTAAGAAAACTGTCTACTTGTTCTATTTCATATCACTTTGCGAGTTTATCTGTGCAAATGCCTTCTCATTTTACCATAGCCAAGCTCAGCTTCTGCAAGAGCTTTTGACAGGGGCTGTTTCTGAATAGATTTTGTAAAACCTACTAGGTTGTATCAACTGCATCTTCTTTGTCCATATAGCAAGCAGCTCTTTTAGATGTCTAACACATGAGGAATCAGTAAGCTCTGCAAAGCTGCATTGTCCTTTTCTTAAGATGTCATGTTTATCCGTTTACCCTTAGTCTTTCGAAGCAGTTTTTCTTACTGCTGGTGACTTAAAATGCAGCTGCTTCTACTGTGTCAGGGCATGTCCACAGGCAAGGAAACCACTTCTGAGTCTGTCTTCTCCTGGACCTTTGACTTTATAAACTGTTATTCCAGTGCCGTCTCTTCTTATATGTTATACCCCCCAGTTCCAGCATGTCTGCTGCAGCGTCGAGAGTAACTGCCTATGTGAACTACTTTGTGCTTGTGTCTTTCAATACATTACAGATGTGCAGAGGGAAGGTTTTATCTTGCTGCAGCCCACTTTGATATGGTTCAAGTACCACAGTTATGGAACCTCTGATTTGGAGATAATTCCTGAAATGGTGCATGGTGTTTTTTCAAAGCGCTCCTCTTTGGCAGAATGTTGGGTTTAACTTCTGGCTGAAATTGTTTTCTGAGGAGAAATTAGGACCTCCTTATAAGCCTGAATGATGGCAAGTGGGTTCAATATCTGAAAATAGATGTTAAATAATTCAGCAGTCTGTCCTGGAATCCAAGAGGGATCATTCAGGTCTTTTAACTGGTGGGTAAAAGCTTTGCTGTATTCCTGTTTTGATGATGCGTTACTTCTGTATTCTGGTGACCGAGGGGATAACTCTTGTGAGAAATGATGGAGAGGTGTTGATTGATGGACAGTTTGTAGATGATCATATGCTATAAAGAATTTCTGTGAGAAGGACAGAAGTCAGTTATTGAAGTCCTCTCTGTAAATTATTTTCTCCATAATGGTTAAATTATTCTGTATTTCACATACACATTTGTGTTCATATTTTCAAATAATACTGCTAAGAAGAATTATGTACCTAAAAGTGACTTCATAAATAAGATTGTGTTGCATAATGCATTTTTAGCTTAACAAATGAGTAACATCCATAACTGTGGAAGTAGACCTTTAGAATCCTATATCAGACTATAAAACAGCCTCAAATTTGTGGGATTCTGTCATAATCAGTAGCTATTTTTACCATTCTTTTTTATTTCAGAGATGTTAAATTGTGTTCTTGTTTTAACAAGATATGGTTTGGTCTACTGCATCAGTTGGAGTTCTTTAATTTTTCCTGACTTCAGTCCATTGTGGTTGGAAAGACAACTAGTCCTGAGATTTGGCTTCTGTTATTCTGAAAATACCCTTATTGCTATTCATATTACCCTATTGATTATTAAAATTGTCAAGCAGAAGAGACTTACATAGTTTATTGATGACTACAGATTTATCAATGAAGGAATAAGACCTCATACTGCTGTATTAAGAATGAGGAACATGAGGTGGATGTTATTTTTGTATGCGAATTTATTTTCTGATTGAGAATGATCATCCAGATTGTATCTACAGCTGATGCGATCAGTTCATTTCTGTTCTGTGGTTTTTTGTTTATTTATTCTTTTTTGACTGAAGTAGACCTTAGAAAAGAGCTTTGGCTATCTTATTAATAGAGTACTCTGAATTCTAAAGACCTGATTACATATTGATGCAGTAGAGTCCTTATATCAGATTTTCTTTGTGTGACCAGCAGAGTCTTTTTATAAATTGATGGTTTGGATCTGTAAACTAGTAGATCTATTAGAATTACTTGTTGTAGGCCTAAATATATTAAAGTCAGTATTCTTGGCCATATTTTAAAAATTTATTATATCAGCAGTTGGAAAAAAAAAAAAAACAACAAAAACAAAAACCAACAAAACACAGTACTCTCTTTTCCTAGTACCTTTCCTTTAGCTTTCATTCCAATTCTCACTTTTTATTGTTACATAATAGGCAAGTATCTGATGACCGAAGAACTAGTTGTTGCATCAAATCCAGTTTCTTTCCTGTTTGCATCCTTTATTCAATAGTTTTCATATAGTGAATAATAGTCATAGGAAGCCATCTGTTGTTTGCTAATTCGAAACTTCTAATGCAGTGTTAACATGAAATAATGTTTTTCAGACTGTTACTTGTTGCACTCAGCTGGTTAAAACCAGTCAGTTATTAATCTCTCTACAATTCAAATTACTGTTTTGTCTACAACCACTAATACTCATGTATCCCCATCATGTGTCTCTGTGTCATGATAATCCTGACATGTTCAGAGAAGTAGAAAATAACCTGGAAATTTGATTTAATATTATAATGTATGTGTATATATATATATTTAATAATTGTGTGACTAGAATTACTCTCATAAATGAAGGTATCTTGTTACTCTATTACCATTTCTCCATTTTTCTGGTGTTTTAAATAGTAACTTTTCACCTAGGATTTTTGAAATCCTGAGTTGTTGAGACATACTTGATTTTTTTTTAGTATTTTTGTTGGTCTGAACAGGGAAGTCATGTTTGTACCTTCTTGTTTTGGTAAAATTGCCTACTAAGAAAAAAAAATCTGTATTTAAAGGATACTGCTATGTAAAATACTAGAGGGGCTGGGAGAAGCTGATAGAGGTTTGGTTGTGGCCTGGCAGTTCAGTGTTTGGCAATTGTCAGTGTTCCTGCACTTTGGGAGAAGCATTAAGTAGTTTTTTCGTTGGTTGAAATCCATGTTTATGATTTCTTCATGGGTGAAGAATGAATCCAGAATGCTAACGGGCTTAGTGTTTTTCTTGGATTATGTGGTGCACATTATTCCAGTCTGGAGCCAATTGTGTTTCTCCTGTCTGATGTAAACAAGAGTTCAAAACCTCATTTAATCAGTGGTGACTTCTGCTGGGCCGTATGAGCTGAGAGATCAGGTTAGGTTTGTTGATGGAATCCCTAGTTTTCCCCTCTTTAATTCAAAACTGCATTGAGTCTCACTGTGGAAGAGCAAACATTTGATACTGTTTGGCTCTCTTCAGATTTTGATTCAAATTCTTTCTCATATTACTCTTATCTTTGTGGGTGTTTGCCTGGTGTATGTAGTTTGTTCTTTCTTGTTCTTTCTCTTTATGAAAACTGTATATACGGTTGAAACTGTTTTATTTTGGTGGAAGTTTTTTCTATGCTTCTCTTATTATTTCTTAGAAATTCGAGGTTCAAGAAACATACCTTGCAGTAAATGGTACAGTTGATAGTCTTAGTTTCCATGGTGTTCTTTCCCTGGACTTCAGACTTTCTGGTTAACTGCTTTAAGTTGTGCATAGAGAGTCTTTAGCCATAAGGGATTCAGTGGTTTTGACATAAAAAGATATTCAGGGAGGAGATGAAATGCAACTCCATCACATGGGAACATCTCAATGGTAGCTTGAGTGTTTGCATTTAAAGGGGAGTGTTCTCTTCAACTGGAAAAAAGGGCGATGCCCACTGGAGGTCACTATTTCAACTCATGGAATTCCACTTGTAGTGCTTCGGGGTGTGTGTGTGTGTGTGTGTGTAGGTGATGTATAGGGAGTACTCTCTGACTGAGCATGTATTTACTTAGAACAAGGTACTTGAATAATTCAATCTGTGCCAGAGTGAATTTTTCAATGCTGATGAACAGGCGTTACAGGATTTGGGGGGTGGGTGGGCAGGCAGACCTTATTTGCATTTCATCCTTTGTTTTGACATGTCTTGTTTCGGGTAACTGCCCATGTCCATGTCCCTACTGTATTTTGATAACTATGGTTGAAGAATGTATCGTTATACATTAAGATAATTTTCTGAAATTTATTTTTAAAATTGAGGTTTATTTAGTAATTTTTGATTGTATTCATATTTTCTGAAACATTAAGATGAGTTCTTATTTTCCCTGATTAACGAAAACTAAAGATACCTAGGAAAATATTTAAGGCATATGCTATGTCAGTGCCTATGAAAAGTACAGATTTGTATGTATTCTTTTATAAATCTACTTAAATGTAATAAAATATGGTGATGTAGGATTTTTGCAGTGTATTAGTTGCACAGATGGTACTTGAAATAGTTTCAACTTGGAGGAAAGTAATTCCTGCAGCTGACTTCTTATTGTAATCTTCGCAGTTAGGACTGCTTAGTCCATTGATGAATTGTGTAGTGGAGTAAGAATTGTGAGACAAAGAAATCTTTATATGCAATATGAATTAGGGATTGGTGATTAAAGTGATTACAAGCCTTGCTTAATAAAAATAATCTTTTAAAAAGCATAGCTTTTACGTTGCTGCTGAGCTTAATTTCTGATAAGGGCCGAAATAAAGATATCTGATGAGGAAAAGCTGGCTGACAGGTTTTCTGGGCAGCTATGTAATAGCTATTTTTATGTCAGGAGTGAGCTAAAAGTGCTATGCTTAGAAGAAAAATTCACACAAAGATTCAACCCTCATATGTGTCTCTGTTTTTCCCCACCCTCTAGTGATATGCAGCTTCCGAGGAGCTGTACCGCAAGGCTTGGTCCTGGAACTAGGTGAAACTGTCCAGATCCTAGAGAAATGTGAAGGTAAGTGTGATGTCCAAAAAGGAATCCCATTTTCTATATAAGAATATGCAATCTAGCAAATTTTAATAAATTGTTTGGAAATCATGATGCATCAGATAAAAGCACTTGAATAAAACCTAATCTGACCCACTTTCTGTAGGAACGGCTGAGTGCTGTTGGCACTAATCCAGCCTGATAGGGGGTCAGTGTGTTTTAAGTTAACCATCTGTCCAGAAAATCTTGAACCCTGACCTGATTATTGTGTTGTAATTGAGTCTTACAGTGAATTTTCATCATGTAAAGTATTTTTTTTTCTCTATTTCTTCAGTGTTACTGAGGAAATATACTTAATTTCAATTAAGTACATCAGGGTTTATTATTTAGAAACATCTGAAGACATGAAAAACATTAGTTAGGAAATAGATTAGCAAATCATTTGGGAACAATACTGGAGAAAAATGTAAAGAATATGGGTTTAGGGGGGATTGCTTTGTATTTATCTTCACATGTTATTTTATACCTAAAGGAAAATGCCATTGTAATTGTTGTTATAGTTTGTTCTTATGTGGCTGGAGATGTCTGTGTGTGAATAAATTGAATGTCTTAATCCTGTTTTAGTCCCATGAGTAGTGTGACTGAAGTTGTTGTATTTAAAAGGAGAAGGATTTTTATCCTAATGTTCAGAGTAAGCAAGTGGTGTACAACATGTCTATTGAGAAGTAGGTTGACAAGACACAGTGTGAGAACATGTTTCACTATAGTCAGAGGTGGAATAATACAACCTTAATGCTGAAGTGTTAAAACAAATTCAAAACCAGATCCACAAATTTGAATTCCAAATTAACATTCCACAAAGTTGTAGGTTTGTTTTTGTGTTTGGAGATGAAAAATTGCTGTAAGCTGAAGAGTGTTAATGTTGCTACACAAACCTTCTTCATGCTTGTCAGAAGACTGCTTTTCTTCTCTCATGCCTAGAACTGTCTTTTGCTCTTGATGCTTTTTCTTGTACTCAGGTGTTTTATTTGTTTACCTACTGACTTAACTCTTCATGCTAATTTATCTAGGGAAGTAGTAGCTTCTTCACCTACACTTCTGAAAACTTTCTGTTGAATAGTGGTGTTTAATCCATGAAGAAACATGCTGTAAACAATAACTGTAGTAGTATAGATGCAAATTAGAATGTTTTTTGAAACAAAACAAAACAAACAAACAAAAAACAACAAACAAAAAACCCAAACCAAAACAAAAAAAAAACCTCATGTGGCATAATGAGCTGAACTTTACTTGGCCACTGAGTGTTGATTTTAGTCATTCTACCAGGTCTTGTGAATTAGTTCATGGTGCAAAATCAGGAAAAATTTGTTACTTTGCATAGGATAGTATAACTCTAAGGTAAAACAATGTTTATTGCTGAAAGCAGTCATGATACTTTCTAACCATTTCTGGCAATCAAGGAAACTTTCAAAACTCTGGGGAATAGAAGCATGATTTCAGAGGAACAGCTTGCTTACAGAAAAGCAAAAGTATAATCCAATGTCTCTTTACAGTGTTATAATAATTCGGCTCTGTGTATTTCCTTTGCCAATACTTTTGAGGATGATTCATCAAAGGCAATTCATACCAGTCTTCAAATCGCTGAGAAAGGTGGCGCTCAGACAAAGTTTTCCTGGATGGAAGGGAGGTGTTTGTGCAGAGTTTTTCTGGTTTTGTTTTTTTTAAGCCCTTTATCCTGTCACTTTGGTTGAGGTGTGCCTTTACCACAGACTTCACATATATAAAAAGATATATTAATTTTGCTAATAATATCTGGAATGCCACAATATGAAACTCATCTGACTATTCAGATGGTCTGTGCTGCAGCTCTTGCATGTGTGAGTTACGCAAAAAAAGCACAGTAAATGTGCAAAGTTTAAAAGAAAAAAAAAAAGTAGTCATCATTTAAGCATTCTTATCTAAGTGGTTAACAAGGTCCTTGGTTTGCCTTGCAAATTTAGAAAGAAACATACCTTATCTTCTACTTCTGTGTTATTTGGTGGGGATTCTTTTGTCTGGACAAACTGGATAATTTAATGTTAACCTGTGCAAATAAGGGTCACTACTGTGGGAGTCAACCAAAGATCTGTTGCTGTTTCATCTTCACTTAGTTTGTGCATAATTCTCTTCAGTAGGGACTTTGCTGTCTGGGTTAAAAGGATTCACATACACACAAACCTTCTAGTGACATGAAGAATGATTTCAGAGACTTGATGAAGAATTCAAGGCTGACAAAGATTCAAATACTAGCTATGCTTCTAATATGTACATATTTTTAATCATAATGACTTCTTGAATAACCTTACCATTATTACAAACAAGCAAGTGCTGGTTTTAGTGACTGGTGTACAAAGCAGTTGCTGCATTTAGAGCAACTGAATGAAAGAGTATGGAATTTTCTGTATCAAGTTCTTGGATACCTCTGCAGCTAAGTTTATATATTTGCAGAGTAAAGGAACAAATATATATGCACATACACAGACACACATGTATATATACACATATTTGTCTCTTTAAGGCTAATAAATATGAATAAAAATTGATAACACACTTTAAAAAAATCTTTTATTGTGGGCACCTATGCTTTTTTAAAATAAAACGCAATGAAATACAGTTATCTTTGTTACTGTGGATCATGTTCATGTGCTTGAAATTGGAACTTTTGAATTTCAATCAATATGTGTGCCTGTTACTCTGCTTTCATACCAGGCCACAAATGTCTAAATCGCTCTTCTCTAATCCTGTCTAAATCTGGCAAATGCCTCCCTCTGCCCCCCTCCCCGCAGAAATTCATTATGACAGGGTTCAGACCCATGGATGGACTTAGTGTCTGCCTTTTCTCTGAAGCCACGAAAAGCTTCATCCATGTTTTCATCAAATGTTATGCTGTCTCTAAAGCATGTGATGTTACTAGGGTGGTTTTATATTTACTATTTGCATGAAGGACTCTTAGATCCTCAACTGGTCTCACTCAAAGGTAACAAATATTCTTCAAGATATCAGTTTTATGTATGCTTGTCTTTCACAGCTTTCCCCTCTCTCTGTTCCCCATTCTGAGCCCTTCCACTTGTGATCTTACCACAGAGAGAATTGAAACAGTAAGTGGTGTTCTCTGCTTTACATGCCTTGCATTGTGGAGGTGAAATGGTATGGCGATAGTATGCCGCCTATAAACGCTGAAAGAGAGTTTTCTTTTGTCAGGTGACAAAGCATGAGCATACTCATTGTTTGAAATACACATAGCCTGTGCATTCTGAAGAACACCCTATTTTTCAAGTCACACGGCTATTGCCCTGCAACTGGCAGTAGCTGTGAGTAACTAGTGACATTCTGACTAAATTTAAAATGTCTGTCTTGTCCATTTATTTTTATTGTTAAGGTGCAGTTTTCTTTAGATTAAAAATGCTACAACTTCAGTGAATTTTAATTATTGCCTTGAGACTCTTATATATCCACTGAAGAAAAGAAATGCTAGCTGATGCCTGAAGCACCAGTTAAAAGAATATTATTTTACCCATGCAAATTCTGGTATCCACACAAGTATTTATTTACATGGTTTTAATGTGTGTGTGGGTTAAAAATAATGCTCTTAAGCCATGCATGTAATATAAAGTTTCCCTCTGTTATTCCAGCAGCGACAGTATAGTCAAATGAAGGTTTTCCAGTATTTGGGATGCTTAAGCAGCAGATAAAGCATGCAATTAAGGTTTGCTCCTAAATTCTTGAAGAATTTAGTGTGGTTGAGAAGCGATATCTTTGCCATGTTTCCAAGTTGCACCATACAGATGAGTGAAGAATCCCACTTCAGATTGTCATTGCTGTGGGAGCAATGCCAGTTTCCTTCCACCTGGAGCTGGGAGCTGTTCTGTGACTGGCTGGGCCAAACTGACTCACTCCCAGTAATTTGGGATTACCCTGAGAAGGATGTCTCCAGTGAGATATCACTTTTCTTCTTTGCCTTTTTTTCCCTTTTCATCCTTTTTCCTCTTTGCCTTTTGTGGAGTGTGCTAGTGGAACTGAAGACTGGGACCCACGCAGCTGCTGCGGAAGATCTTGCCTGTCTATTCAAACTAGTCTTTTGGAGCACAGGAATGGCTTCTTGATGGCCCTCTGTCTGGCTAACACCAAGATAAAACACATTCTATCTCTTCTGCTTTTGTTGTGGCATCTCTGACTGTGTTATTAGCATATTCCTGTGGCTCTGCTGGCATGAGGCTGCTCCCTGACGTGGCGTTGGCAGGCAGGGTTGGGTATTCATCTGCTGCTCGTCCTGTCCTGGCACTGCTCAGAGCATCAAGCTCAGAACAGAGTGGTCTTGGCATTGAGTGGTTTCGGCATCAAGAAGCTTTTGCTAAGCACTGTTACCATCCCTCTTCTGGGTCATTTTGAGTGCCTTTAGCTCTACACAGCAGTTTATATGGAGATTAAGAGGTAAAAGCAATTGTGTATTGGCTAGTGTATGCAAAAGATAGCTTTTCTTCAGATTTGAGGGTTACTCATATTATTGCAAAGTATACTTATTTTTATAGGACAAAAATCAGTCTGCAGCTCATGCTACTTTATTTAACCCAGATATTTGAGCTTTATTTTTCTGAAAAATAGATCAATACCTTTCAATTAGGACCTTTTGTTTTTCTGCTACTGAGTGCTCAAGAGGGACTAGCTTTTTCCATGTGACAGACCTCTTTTTGATTAACTGGCAATCTGAAAAAGGTTACAAGGTGGCTTTTAGAAAGAATATCCTGTTTTGTTCCAGGCACTTTCAAGTAAAGATCAAAAAACATTGGTAGCTCTTCTAATCTCTCAGATTAAGAGAATGAGATGCGCAGGCCTGCCCCAGAGCTCATCTTGCAATTTAGGATTGCATTATTGCTGAGGCTACTGAGTGTGATGTATCTTTGGAAAGACTATTTTTCAGTCTTTATCTAAGGGTATGCAGGTTTCTGTAATATGCCTTTCCCACCCTGGATTTCCATATGTGCAGGTAG